TCAGTCAACATGCTCAGTTTTATTTCAACTTTTAAGGAATAAAATAAAATTTTTATACTTATAAAGATTATCTACATTCATTGTAGGAAAATTTGACAATGTTAAAGAGAATTTATAATTCCATGTAACCCTATAAACTATAAATATCTGCTGATGATATCTGACATACAATATTTCTTGAAAGTGAATACGTAATTCTGTTTGTGACCCAGTGGCAATGATAGGATATAAACAGCTTGCATTCTTATTTATAACTTAATAGTATATTGAGACTATGGAGAGTTCACCCAAAATATTACTTCTTGAAAGATACCTCTTTTTCCAGAAATTTTTGTGCAAAGAAATATTTCTAGAAAAATCATGCTCCTCTAGAACAGCCAACTCATAATTCTAAATTATTTCCTTAGGGCAAGTTTCTTTGGAGATGAGTTTGAGGGTAAATATATTACTGTTTTATAAAGGCTGTTTACATTTTGATATTCCAAGTGTGTACTCTCATCAGTAGCAAAGGACCGTGTCACCAGATGCTGGTGACAATACAGGACTAGGTTCGGGAATGTGCCCCAAAAGATGAATGTGTTTGGGGACTGGGCTTCTGGAAGGTGATTGATCATGAAGGGCGCTGTGCTCACCTGGGATTAATCCACTGAGGAATCCACAGCTGAAGGGAGTTCAGCCTAGTCAGAAGAAGTGCTGTTGGGAGTTCAGCCTAGTCAGAAGAACTGGGTCACTGGGTGTGGAGGGGTGGGGGGTGACTACCTGGAAGGATCTGTCTCCCTCCTCGGCTCCCCGCTTCTCTCTCTGTTTCCTGTCCAGTGTGATCTGAGCAGTGTTCCTCTGCCAGACCCTTCCACTGTGCCATTTCTGCCTTGGAGCCAGCTGAGCTTGGTGTCTGAAATGTAAGCCAAATAACACTCTCTGCCTTTAGACTGTAGGTGTTGGGCATTTTCCCTCAGTGACAGGAAAGTAACTAAGATGGGAACAATGTTTATTTGAACAATTTGGTATGTAAAAGCATAATTCTTAGCTTTACTTGGGTCAGGTCTGTGTTACTCATATGTAAGAGTTCTTTAAGCAATATAAATCCTTTACAATATTCACTTTAGATCCTTTCCCAAGCTTACTAACATTTCAAATTGACTCCAAATAACCTCTAAGAATGGCTCCCTTCCTTTATCTAGAAGCAAAACATACTGAGTATTTTCCAATACTCCACTTATAACACATCTAGCTTCCTACTATTCAAACAGGAAAAGCTTATGCTGGTGGTAAAAAGAAATGAATCAGTGTTATATGTGGGATACAATTACAAGAAAGAAACAGAAAATTTGATATGGTATACACCCTCTTTTTTCCCTACTAAGGGAACTTCTCTGTCAATGTACAGAGCTAATAACTTTCCTGATCTCCCACACAGGTAGTGGTAGCCATGCAATGCTTTCTTCCTATTTTGAATGTGGATATTATGTCTGCATCTGTAGCAATTATTCTGTGACTAAGAGGCAACAAACATAAAACAGCAGAGTACAAAGTCTTGAAGAGTTGCTGCCATCACCAATCAGCTAAACCAATACCAGCACATGTAAACCTCTGAACTATTCGTTAAGAGAATAAAAAATTTTAAAAAACAATTAAAAATGACATACAGATTCAACACAATCCCAATCAAAAAACCATCAGTACACCTTGAAGATCTAAAGAAAACATTCATAAAATTCAACTGGAACCAGAAAGGACCTCGAATAGTTAAAGCAATCCTAGGCAACAAAGAAAAAGCAGGAGGCATCACAATCCCTAACTTGAAATTATATTACAAATCTACTGTGACAAAATTAGCATGGTACTGGCAAAAACACAGACTAGAAGATCAGTGTAACAGATTAGAAGATGCCGATACAACTACCAACACACCCAGCCAGCTTATCTTTGAAAAAGGGGCCAAACATGTTCACTGGAAGAAAGATAGCCTTTTTAATAAATTGTGCTGGAAAAACTGGTTTTCCACATGCTGAAGACTAAAACTAGACCCATGTCTATCACTGTGCACGAAAGTCAGAATAGAACAAAGATCTAAATATTAAAACTCTAACACTAAATCTACTGGAAGAGAAAGTAGGTAGATATCTTGAAAACATAGGGATAGGCAGACTTGATGAACAAAACCCGAACTGCATGGGAAATACTTCAAAGAATCAACAACTGGGATCTCATCTTATTGAAAAGTTTTGGTACATCAAAAGAAATCACCAACAGAGTGAAAAGAAAACCCATGAATTGAGAAAAAAATTTTAGCCAACTTTCCCTCTTAACTATTTTTTAAGAGAGAAAACTAAATGTCTCTTTGTGTAAATTATTGTTAGCCCAGTTTTCTATTGCTCAGACCTTCAGGGACCA